GCCTTATCATAGGCTTTTTGCATATAAAGGCAGAAATTAAATGTTTTCTCTTGACAAAAGTATTATGGATAGAGGCTTCCAGAAGGAGGACTATTAGATGGCCGACTATCATATGGAGTTTTATTTATCATAAATGTGCAATAAAACAAAAGGTTGGTGACCATTTAATTACTTATTCAGTTTGGGTTACGAAAAATTGGTTCCGTACTTCTGCATAATAGATTGTGGCCATTCAAATCACATATAATTAGAAAAGATTCAGGCATCTGCTGTATTACAGCATAAAAATCTTGCTGATCAATGTGCATATTTAGAGTAGGTGGCAGATAAATTAAATATATGTCTGATATAGACCTTTACTGCAACAACCTAAAGGCAAAGTAATGACATAAATTGAATAGTCAAGTGAAGTGAGTAAACCGATGCTTTCACTGGCGCTATCACTATTTTTAACTATTTTTTTAACTTTAGAGTATGGTTCTGATATCTTCACTAGCTGGTTTATCTATATTTCTTACATTGCAGTGCAGGCAAAATGATTTATGTCAGTCAGTCATTAATATGGAAACTGTAACATTTTCATGAAATTAAGGGCGACCATTATGTATGCTGTTTATTTTGTCTTCATTGCTTTCTGGTTTTCTTTGGAGGATATTTCAGGATGAAAATTCCATCTTTTACCTTCAGTAAATTATATCAAATTCCATGCTTTCTAAGAAACTTATGCTATGGCTTGTCAAGGCCAGTTTGCAGTTTCATCCTTCTATTTGTCCCCCCCTTTATTTAACCTTCCAGCATGCACGCTTGGCAATTTTACATGAGCACGCACGCGTTGTATTTTTTACGACTTCCATTATTTTACCGTTTTCGCATGAAAAATGACAGGAATGAGGGAATATTGATAATAAATTTGTTAAGAAATAAAATATTAATCTTATTATTGCAAAATACAAATGATACCACATTCAAATATAAGTAAATTATTTTTAAGTTCTTATGTTTGAGATGGAAATGGCAATGATGTATTTCATTATAGAAAATTTTTAATTATTATTTTAAATATTATATTTTAAAAATCAAAACTAATTTTAATATTCATCAAAGGCAAGTATAGACAAATAAAAAAGAAAACCACTTTGGTAGAAAAAAAAGTAAGTTTAGCATTACTTACTTCTGCAAGGAAATTAACTTCTTACTGGTTACAAAAATGCACTTTAAACTAACTTTAATGTTTTTATTTATTTCTAAAAAATAGAAATAAAAAAATAAGAAATGGAAATCGCTATTGTTCTGCCATCCAAAGGTTTCCTTTTCCTCATCAGATAATTCTTGAAGAATCCGAGCAAAATCAGCTGATTGCACATATTTTTTTACCATGAAAACCGGTATAAAATTTACAGAGCCAGATATGTTCAAATTAAAATAATACACGGCAATGAATAACAGAAAATTACAAGATATTTCAGGAAAATATATTTTCCGAATTTTAAAACATGAGCACGCACATGTCGTAAATTTTATGAAAAAGTTGCCACGTAGCACAAAAGCCCAGTTAAAAAAAAAAAAAAAAAAAAAAAAAAAAAAAAAGTCAAATGACTTCTTATTGGCACATTCCATGATGTTGGAAAGGTAGAAAGAAGGCATAGAAATGACCGTCAGACATCTCAGCTTCGATATGCGAAAAATGTTCATTAAAAATTGAATTTGTCATAAATTTTGCGCATATGCCAGGGTTGCCACGCTACCTGGAAAACCGGGAGAACCGGGAAAAGTCAGGGAATTCGAAAATTGACCAAAAAATTCAGGGAAAAGTCAGGGAATTTAAGTATTTTTGTCAAAAAATGGAAAAGTCAGGGAAAAAAAGTTCATACAATGATCCCGCCAAAAAAAAAAGCGATTTTTGCGCCGACGTCGGAAGAGATAACTTTTTGGCGAATTGCCTATCACGTGAGTGTCTGCTGGCATAGAGCCAATTTCGCAGCTCCAATTTGATTGCCTTTTAGAAAGGCAAAGCAAGCAAGTTTCCCGCAACTTTCGGTTTCGAGTATTTCGAGAATCGCATGTGCAGTGCATGAACTAAAGAAAGACCTGTTCTCGTATATAAAACAAAATGGGTTTAATCTTAGTATACGGTACCATGGAGGTTAGAATCAAAGAATGTGTATTGTATTGTAAGAAGGAAAACCTCTCTGCAACAGACGTGGCTCCGTTCCATCATAGAGGGAAACAGCTGTGTGCATGCGTGATATATCTGCCGCCAAAGCTGGAAAACCGGTGTCGAAGTTCGAAGGTCACGTTATCAAGAGTTCATTAAATGAATATCCTTTTAAAATTTCTTTAACCACTTGCGCTAAAAAGACGTGCCACGCACGTCGAGATGTTTTTGTCTCAAACTGCGAGCGACGTGAACACCACGTCGATAAGCATTTATCGCAAAAATGAAAAACAAATGGTGCACACGTCGCCCTAACAACGAGATTGTTTATTCTTGAGTTACAGCTCTGGATTGCACTCGCAGATGCGAGCGGAGCGGCGTAAATGGAGACACTTTACCACTTGCTATATTGTAGCGCACGGCACAAGAAAAATATTTTTGGCGCAAGTAAATTAATTCATAGGTTAGTAATAATTTCAGGGGGGGGGGAACTATGAAAATCCGTTTTTAAAATTATTGCGAAAAATCCAAGAAGAAACGTCCTATGATAAAAACGTTTCTTCTTGGATTTTTCGCAATAATTTAAAAACGGATTTTCGTAGCTTTCTTTTTTGTCAAGAACGTTTCTTCTTAACACGTTTCTCAATTTCCGGTACACATCGCGGAGAGGGAAATTCTGGCCGCCAGGTTCCGTCGCCAAATCCCTTGGCAAATTTTTCCCTCCGCATTCTAGCGGCGTAATAGCATTTTTACTTGTATGGAAAATTTTCTTCTTTGCATAGACGTTTTTGGTTTAAAATAATCTCCATGTATGGATTTGGCGAAATGATGATGCGCAGTAAAACGGGTCATTTTGGTCTTGGCGACAATTTTCAAAATCGTGCCAAAGCCTTACCGTATACTAGAATTGTACGCAAAATCTTTTAAAACTTTTCTTTTTAATAAATACCTTGCCATTTTGCAGTAAAATAAAAAAAAAATAGTAATCTGTCATCTAGGCTAACCATGTAATATAACTATATTCGCTAAATATCGTTTACTATTCTAATTCAATTTTAAGTAATTATCTTATTTTGTTTCGTATAATTTAATGATGCTTCTTCCCTCTAAATTTATTAATTATTAGTAAATAATATTTCTAAATTTCAGGAAATTTTTCTCTGGCATAATCTTGAAATTAATTCTAGCAGTTGTGACATACCATCACGAAATTTAATGCACATATTTTTTTCTTATGTATGCTGCGAACTAAATATACCTCAATTTATAAAAATACCTTCAATTATTAAAATAGATTTCTTGTTTCGTTTAGCTGCAGAATGTTTGCAAAAAAAGCCTTATTTTATTCCAGATTGGGAAGATTCTAATCTCAATCTTCAATGGAGAAAACAACAACTATTATAATTATATTTGTGTTTTCAATTTGTTAAGGTGCTTTTTAAGAACATACCTCACACAAATGAAATTTACCTAAAATCTAACCTAACTATTTAGCATTGCGTTGTGATTTATAAGGACCAGATTAGCCTCGTGTTGTTGAAATGGTGATGATCATGAGTAATAATTAAATAAAACATACATTTGTTATCCAATGTATAATCTTAAATTTTATTAAGTTTCTTAAGTGGAAAAAAAAGTAAACAAAATTATCAAACAAAGTATACCAAGAATAATTAAGAATAAATGTCCTCTGGGATTTATTGAATAATTAAGTGAATTTGCTACACAATACAAGTAATACCATAATTTACCTCTTAGCGTAGTCAACGTACGTTACGCGGATAGACTGGAATTTTCTTGAAACGCACCTGGAAAACCTGGAAAAGTCAGGGAATTTCATTCTCCTGTTTGAGTGGCAACCCTGATATGCGCATGCTGGAAGGTTAGCAAACTTGATTTCTATTTATCGCTTTCTTTGGCTGTATAAGACATTTTACTATTTGCTTCTTGTAAATTAATCAAAGTTTGATTTTTCTGTATACTAGTGTTAGTCTGAGTAGACACTAATTTTGTAGATTATATGAGGTTGAAGTTTGAAATTGCTAAACACATCTTCCTCACATGAGGTGGTAAACTGGGCAAACCTGATACTTGAATCTGAAATTCTGGCTTTAAAACTAAGTAACATGTTTTTGAAGCTAAAATTTCTTCACTTTCTTTTATACTATTATTTGTTCATTTGCCTTGAATACATTTCAAAATCATTGAAATAAATAGTCCCCTTTTCCTCCATTTTTGTATTCTCTACCAGCACAGGATTATGATGACATAAATAACTTGATAGTTGATGTTGAAGTGCAACTTTATTAGTCATTACAATCATGAATATGCTCTGTTTTAGTATTTATCTTGCATACAGTTTTAGAAGTTATTCATTTTAAATCATATTTATGGACTTACATTTTTATTTATTGATATTGTCTGAATTTAAAATACTTACCTACATGGCAGAAATAAGAGTAAAATAGTTTTTACTGATTAATTTTATGAATAGGAGGGCTTAGTAGATGTATGGAAATGAAAAATTCATTTTGGTATGACTGTTTGGTGCGAGTTGGTCATGATAATTCAGGTTTTAATACAAATGATTAACAACAAATTTGTTTACTTATTCATATTTGAGTAGATAAAAATACAAGTGAAAAAAATTAAATTATAAGCCATAAATTAATAAATGCTTTTAGTTAATTTTCTTTATGCAGGTAATATAGCCATAGGTAAGTAACTAATTCTATTTGTATTGTAGTTAAGTTTTAATTTATAATTTTTTTTTGTTAATTTCATTCTTATAACTAAGACATTATTTCCTACAGAATCTCTAATATAATTTGTAAATTTCTTGTAGGTGGCCTCATTTAGCAGGTTTATATGATGCACAAAACACAGATTGGAAATTTGAATTTTGTCAGAGATACGAGTTAAAAAAATTAATTTCTCAGAGGCTTGAAGAAATGACACGGGAATATTATCATCATGAAAATATTTCGCATGAAGCATTTGTAAATTTTCGAACACTTTGTGCAGAACGTCCTATTAATCACAATCTCATTATAGATGAAATAAATAGTATTCTTCAGGCTACGGAAAGGTAATTAATCTCTCCATTGAAAATCATCATCTCTTTTCAGAAAGATATTTTATAAAATTTTAAGACTGCTGCTCTTAGTTGTTGTTATTAAGAGCTCATTATTAATTTGTATTTTTGATTAAATATCAAGAACATGTATTTTCAGGTTATAATAAGATACATAATTTTTAAAATACTGTAGTGATCCTTTCTTTCATAATTGTTTCATAAGTTCTTCTAGACAAATGTTTTTTACGGAATTTAAAACTTAAAATATTTTTTGTTTATATTGCATTAATCTTTTATTTTGAATTTGTATTCTGTGTATTAAAAACATATTTTAATTTGAAGATATATATAAGAAAAATAAAGAATATGTAAAAGATTAAATTAGCAGCATAAATTATTTTTCCATCTCTATTCTATTCTAAAAATAGTAACTTGTATTTGCACCGCATCATTTCGAGAATAATAAATGTCGTATGACTCTTACATAATTCTGATGATATAAATGGAACTAAACAGCCAATAGTAATTTTAAAACAATATTAATTGTTTAATTAAAATGCATTGGAAACCAAAACTAACTCAGTCTGAATTAAGATTTCATCCTGAACATAACACACTTTCTACGCTCTGGCCTAACTGGACTGCTGTCTATCTGCTCCTGCTATCTTGCTGCAAAGTTATCAAAAATGTAAACTTCTTGGAATAGGCACAATTCATGTGCCAACTTGTTTGTGGCCACAACGTGTTTGCTGGAATAAAAAATGAAGATTTAATCTGCCTTCGCCTCCAATTTCCTATTTGTTATGAATCAACACTTCTGTGCTATCAAAAATTCTGCTCGTCATTACTTCTAAGTTTGTTTTTATCACACACACACATATACTGATGGAGGACAAAATAATAGGAACACCTGTAAAATAATGGAAAATCTTTATTAATAGGGGGTTGGACCAATCTTTGACTGAAGTACAGATTGAATTCGATGTGGGATAGATCATAAAGGTCATGGACAATATTTAAAGGAATATTAAGCCATTCCTCCTGCAGAGGTCTCTAATTCCAAAAGTCCGGATAAAGGTGGAAATCGGGAACGAAGTTTGGACTCCAAATATATCCATAAATGTTCAAAAATTACTTCTAAGTTTGTTTTTTCACACACACACATCTTGGAGGAGACAAAATAATAGGAAACACTAAAAATAGGAAAATCTTTATTAATAGGGGGTTGGACCAATCTTTGACGAAGACAGATTGAATGGGGGGATAGATCATAAAGGTCATGGACAATATTTAAAGGAATATTAAGCCATTCCTCCTGCAGAGTGGTCTCTAATTCCAAAAGTCCGGATAAAGGTGGAAATCGGGAACGAAGTTTGGACTCCAAATATATCCATAAATGTTCAAAAATATTTTAAGTTCGGAGACTGAGGGGGGGCCAAGCGAGATGTTGAATTGCATCGTCATGCTCTTCGAACCATTCTTGAATAAAACTAGGAGTGTGAATGGGGGCGTTGTCATCTTGAAAAAGTGGTCGCTTTCCAGAGAATTTAGTCTGGGCATGATCTCCCTAGGATGCTTAGATAGTGATTGGATCTGATCCTCCTATGCAGAATAACAAGTGACCCAAGAATGCGTCAAGATATCACACCTCGTACCGTAATGACGCCACCCTCATGCTTCACAGTCGGCAAGAGGCAGTCAGGATGAAACATTCTGGAAAACGAGAAATGGGCGTTTTCCAGACATAAACACGTTCAGTCGTCTGAAATAGGATGAATGACAATTCATCTGACCATATTACCTGTTGCCAACTCTGTGGGGACCAGCTTTTGTGATCTCTGCACAATTAGCATCGCTTGAAAGCATTAGTTGCTCTCACCAAGGGTTTACGAATTGCCACTCTGCCATGAATCTTCGCAGCACAGTTTTTGTTGAAACAGGGTCCTGGAGATGACTGTTCATTTTGGATGCTATCTCGGATAACAATTGCTTGTGCTTTCGGGCTACCGTGCGCTTCAAGACCCGTCTATCTCTATCAGCTAGCTTTGACTTTCATCCATTGTTGTGTTTTGAAGATGTCGTCTTAACCTCTTTCGTGTACGCTGTCATAATGGCTGATACTGTACTCCTTGCACACCCCACAAGATTTGCTGTTTCCATAATCGATGCTCCACTTAAACGTGCTCCAACTATCATTCCTCTTTAGAATCTGATATGTCTGACATTTCAACTTCTCACAGACAGTTCAATCGAAGCATGCACTGCAGGTGACTGCTCTTGAGAGACTGATACCTTCCTCTTCACGCTCAACTATGTGGCAGACTGCTGTTGCAGGTGGCATGGCTGTACTGCAGGTGTGAAATATGTCATACTTTTTCACATGTGTTCGCATTATTTTGTCCTCCATCTCTATATAATGTATTAAATTTTTCTAGCAACTTAAGTTTTGGGGCAAATGGATAATTAGTATGACATCAGAATATGGTAATTTGAAGAATCTGATATAAAAATATAAGTGTGCTGCATAATTCTTAAATTAATATGAATTATTATTTGTAGGCCGTAGTAACCAGACAATTTAAAATTTTAGTTAAATTTGTTCCATTAAAGGTAGTTTAAAGGAAAATTTATTATTTATTCCAACATGAGTAATATTTATCATTCATTTATTGAAAGTATTAGAGCCCATATTCAAGCAATCTTTTATAAGTTTTATCGGCCTGGCAAACATGGTACATTTAATAAATTCGCCTTATATTAAATTAATTAATCATTTTTTGGTTCTTTTTTATAGCTGTCTTGGTGAGAGAAACAGTGTTGGCAGAATTCAGGCTTAATGGTCTAAAAAGCCATGAAAATGAATCTAGCTGACAAATTTAGATTGGTAATTCATTCAATATCTACACAACAAGATTTTTTATAATTAAGACACAATAACACGCCGAATAAATACTAATTCAGAAGTCAAACAACAAAAATTCATTTTGTTGTTTGACTTCTGAATTAAGATTTTTTATTTTGTATACACAGAAGCAATTTAATATAAGTTTGTATTTATTATTTTATTTAATACAGTTTTGTAAGCCAATTTATTTATATTAAACAGCAGATATATATATATATATATATTTTTTTTTTTGAAGTTACACTGTGCTGGTTGCAGTTCAGCAGTGATTGCCAATAATGTATCAAGCATATTTCATCACTTATGACTCTGATATCGAGTGGTTTTTGTTTCGCCATTTCACTGATTTCTATAAGTGTTCTATTTTATGGCTATAGCATCTATCGAAGGCAAATAGAAAATAGTAAGCATAATAAATATTTGTGAAAACTGGTACATTTTTAAAAAGAACAAATTTCCATTAATCGAAGAAACGTAAACCATGTGATACACAAAATTCTATAATCATTCATTTCACAAAATTCTATAATCGTTCGTTTCTCACGAAGACAGAAATATACATATAAAATATTTAATAATGAAAAATTGTTATATTTTAAAAAAGGAAGTTATCACTAGTGGACGAAAGTAAACAATGAGCACGTATGCAAATTGGTAACCAATAATTTCTCCTTGAGAAACACGCAAATTTCTCTCTCTTACCAAGACTGTTATTAAAAAGAAGTACCCCTATTTTATTATTTTATACATATATTTTTGTTTTGCCTCAAACATATTTTTTCATATACTCTTTTTAAATCATAAAACTGGAACTCTTGAAATATATATATAATGTTAAGAAAATGTTTTTAGTTGAAACTCTATTCTCTTAAATGAAACTAAATATTTACAATTAATATTTATGATTAAAGTTTATGATTATCTTTTTAACAGGCATACTGAAAAACAAGTATTACATGTAATCAAATTGTACCCTTTTTATTTTTAATATAACAGTTTTGCTTTATTAACCCTCTGAGCAGCATGGACCGGCTTTATCCTGTCATGATAATTTTTGTCACTTCATACATATTAGCTTATGACTTAAAGATATTTTACTTTCTTACTTTCTTTAATAATGTAAATAAATGTAATCCTAATGAATGTAAGTTTGTGAAAATAGAGGCTAAAATAAGTAACTATATGAATTCAGCTAATAAATGCTGCATAAATACAGGTTTTCATGACAGATCCCAAAACCCTTGTCGCTCAGAGGGCTAAAGGATTTTAGCTGCAATTTATACTATGCATGCATGCGTATGGATTTGTCTGGATTTTTTTAATTCTTTGTCCACCTGAATTTCTTTATCTTTTATTTCTTCTATTAAATTTGAATAAATTTATATTTTTGAAGGGCACTAATTTATTGTAATTATTTTTCTAGTGAACTTTTTTTTATATTGTAATGCAACAAAGATTTGTTTATTTGGTTCTAATGAAGATCAGAGTATTAATTCTTTGAGTTTAGTTGTTGTGTATCTAATACTGTGTTTACTCCCATATTTCTTCCTCTTCAGCTTTATCAATATAACATTTACTACAAACTTCAGCTTAACAATGGACCCCAACTGTGAACAGATAGCAAAAAGGGAGGAAAAAAAAAGAGCGATAACTGAAATATGAAATGCAGTAATATTAGTATATTTGTTTCTAACCAAGTTTTTCATTTAATTCATATTTTTGAAAAATGGTATATGCTGTGTTAATTTCTCCTCGTGATTTTTAACACATTGAATGCCACTGAATAAAAAAAATTCTCTTTTTTACCACCAATATTTTTTTTTTGATTGATGTACCATAAATGTTCTTTAATGACATGTAATTTATCTATAGGAGATAATATTATATGTTTTTTTAAATCATAATTAGTTTGTATACATGTGGATGTATAAGCAAAGAAATGAATGGAACCAGTATTATAAAAAAATTCTATTTTGTCCATACACTTTTCTGTCAGCCAAAGTTTAATGTACTAAAGGCAAATTGGCATTCTGCAAAGTTAAAATTGTTTCTATTGATACTTGTTCTTGGTAAACAGTGCAAAGTTTTCAATACTTCTTATAAAATGTCCTCTTCTTTCTTCATTTGGCACAGTCTCCATTGCAAAATCAGACAATTCCTCTTTCATTGTTTGTTATTTAATGGTCATCATTCTTGACTAATTCTTTCATTTCTTTTTCTTCCATATCAGAAAATCTTTCCATATCTGTTGTTTTTGGAATATGTATGATTGCCTTGGTTTTATTTTCATTTGATGGAAATCCTTTAACGTTATTGGAAAAGGAAAATTCTGACCAGTGCTGATGCCAGCAAGCATTCATTGTTCATGAATTCACATCTTCCCATGTGAGTTTAATCATTTCTTTGCTTTGTCGTATGTTGAAGTACTTCCAAAATCTCATTAGTGACCTAATTCTTTCCCTCATCTTTTATTTTATTTACTGAGATGTAAACATGGCTGACATAATAGTCATTGAATGTTTTTATGATTTAAACCATTGTTTACACAAAGGAAATTATGTCTGGTTAAAGGAATTAAGACTTCTACATTTGGAAGCCATGTGATGAGAGCTTCAGTAGAGTATTGAGCATTATCAAGACTCAGAACTATAAAGCTCATGTTTTGCTGTTCTAAGTCATGTTTGACTTCTTTAATAAATGAATTTTCAAACCTTTCATTAAAAAGTCTATTGCAACATGGCTGATACATTTGCAGCATACCGCAAATAATTGAAATGCTCGCATTGGATAAATTGAGAAGAGAATTAAGGTAATGTGTATGCACGAAACTGGATTCTGCAAGTCCATATTTGGCAAGGGTTTACTGGAAAAGAAAAAAGATAATATTGAAGTAAATTTCATATTGTAATATACTTGCATGTGGCATATACTCAAGATAAAATAATTAAGATCCAGAATAAAAGTTGAGTAAATAAATTACTTCCTAAAGTAGTGATTAAAAAATGTTGTTTAATTTTTTTAAAAACTTTATTTATTTTAAAATTTGAACAAATGTTCTTGGGAAAATATTTTTTTTTTAAATGCAGATTTGCTGTAGACATAATTAGATATAGTAATATTATCTGTCGAGTTTTTCTTATTGTTGTTACAATGCTCGAGTCTGAAATTTTCTTGTCACATTTCAGAGTTAATCATTTAGAATTTTATTCGGGGTTAACTAAGTATTAATTTACTGTATTTCCTGTTTTTCAGTCATCTTAATCTCACAATTAAATATTATGCTAAAAAATGCTTAAGATTTGTACGTCACCTTCAGTTGGAGACAGAGTGGAGAAACTTCTTAGCTCGTCCATCAAACAAAATAACATTATTAGAAGGTGATATTATTTTATATTCATTTTTGTGATTAGAATTTATATTTTGTAAAATTACATTATTAAAAGGTGATATTATGTTATATTCATTTTTGTGATTAGAATTACTTTTCATTCCCAAAATATCTGGAGTGCTATTTATTGGTAATATTTGAAATACTCTTTATTCATATGTGAACACAGTATCTCAGTTAATATGAAAAATATAAATTTTATAAGTTTTATAATCTGCTTAAAATTTCTGTTATTTCAAAAATTTTAAAATAAGCAATACATTATAATAACCATTCATTGATAATATTATTATTAATAGTTTTATGTAATTATTAGAAAAAATTGCAATTGTTTAAAATTAATTAATTCTGAATAAATTTTAAATGTTGCGCATACTTTTTGTCTTATTATAATTACCCAAGTGCATTCCCGAGCTGATTAAGCAAATAAAAAATTCAGAACCTAATCAAATTATTTAACTCAGTGTTGTGTCAAATGATAGGGAGTTTATATTTCTCTTTACAATTATGATTTATTTTTTTATCAATTGATTAAGTAGTGAATAAGAGAGATCTTATTGTAAGAATGCTAGATGATGAAATAAAATATTTTGTTATATATATGTATTTTCCATTGTAAGAATGTTGGATGACAAAATAAAATATTTTGCTATATATATATTTTCCCTCTAGGAGCTTGCCTTATATCACAGTGGTGCCAGCCAACTGATATTGATTGTTTACGTGATACATTTTATTTCATTAATAATCTAGCTAGGATGGCTTTGGTTAATATTCGTGATAAATTGCCAGATCACCCAGCAGTCCGAAAAGAAAGCTTGCATGTGTCTAGTAAGTACAATATTTATTTATGTGAGTATTAGCATAAATTCTCAATTTACCTGTTAAATCGGGGCAACATTAATCTGAGTGCAATTTTTAAAAAGGATTAACAGAAAAATACTTTTAATAATTAATCAGTATTCAAAGTTCTGTGATGCTCTTGAGTGTATGTGTCACCCTGAGTCTCTCTATATTTCTTTGTATCGCTGTTTATTTTTCTTCATTTTATGATATATATATTTATTTATTTGTTGTTGTTGTTTACAGTAGTCTTGTATTTTGTAAAAGTGAATATGAAACTGAAAATTAATGTGTACGAAAAATTTATTTTTAAATGTGAGCAATTTAGTTTTAACAGATTATGTAATTGTGTTTATGTATTCAGTGTTGTGTAGAATTACATATTGTTGTAGTAAAATGAACTCCCAAAAAACTTTCTTTAACTCATTTTTTCACTTCTCAATTTTCTTGATTTTGAAGATTAAACAAGACAATGCATGTTATAGAGCATAACTGCAAAATTACTTTTTAGCAAAAGCAAACACATTACTGTAATTATGTTAAAATAAATTACATTTGTCTGATTTTTTATGATAAGTAGTTTTACGTGTAATCGTCATAACTTGGCCAGAGTTTCATGTCAATGGGCTAATACGTAAGTACCAAAAAAAACAACAATGTGATAATAAATAATGACCATAAAGCATATTATGATCATTGTTTATGTAAAGAGCTGAAGCAGAAGATCCTAGAATTTTCCAAAATGCAGCTTCAGATTGAAAATTAATTTACAGATAAGCTCTATATATTCTGAGAATACTGAATTCAGAACTTAGTTCTTAAAGGAGCCTCACCCCTAAAAAAATTGTCATAATTTTTGCTGCGTGAAAAAAAGACCTGTTTCTGGCTGGTTTGAAATGCTTTTGTGGAGTTTAATCATTCTGTAATTAAAGTAAAGTAACATGCTGAACAAGTGTTAATTTAAGCAACAAAAATCAGCGTTATATTTGCAAATTTTCACAGGACTAGTTTCGATGGTTTTGCCGAACCATCATTCTCAGCTGCCAAAATGCAACTGAACGAGATAAGATATAGTGATGAGATAAGGATGGCTCGACAGGAGTTAAGCTACTGGTGCCATCTTTTGATGAAACAAGAGAACTAAACATAATTTACTAAAACTGAAGACAGCTGAGGATAATGGTTCAGTAAAACCATTGAAACTAGTCCTGTGAAAATTTGCAAATATAACGTTGATTTTTGTGGCTTGACTTCTAAATTAATTCTGTAATTAATTTCATGAAATTCTTCTGTGATAATTTTCTAATTAGTTTCTTTTCTTTTTTTGTATATGCTACATTTTTTGTTTGTTTTTTTAGATGAGGTTCTTGAAAAATCACTTTGGTCACCCTCTGATTGCAAAATCCTTTTGAAATCTCTAAATTCTGTCTTTTACCGAACTCGAAGTTATCAGAGCAGTAAGAATGATTTTTCTTGTGCAGAATACACCTTTATTGATAAGGTATGCATAATTTAAAGAATCCATTTTTAAAATATGAATATTGACCAGAAAGTCCCGTAAAATAAAAATTTTCTGTTAATCTAAGTTTTCTGCTTGTATATGTAAATGCTGTATCAGTGATAGATTATAAAACATATCTCAAATCATTTTAAAAAATCGCAATAGATGCTGTAAAACAGTTTTGCATTATTGATTTTGGTGGTAAAGTATTTTTAGGAGAGTGTTTAGTATTGCTGTGTTAAAATGTCCGCTGTGAGAAATTTGTATTTTTAAATCAGATTGTGTATTTCATTTTTCAATCTACTGACATAAAAGCTTTGCTTATGATTATCTTTTGGGTTTGGGGAAATAGTTGTCTAAATGCAGTGGGGCGCTTGTTTATTGTAATAATCACCATTTAGTGGTTTGTGCACTATATAACTTGTATAATACAACCTCAGAATCTAAGAAATACTCATGGTTATATAGGAAGAATACAGTCTTTAACTTTATAATGCCTTCGGTTTTCTTCGTGTGAATAAAATTGAGTATGCAAATAAGAAGTATATTTGCAAAACATAGTTTCCCCCCCTGTTACTGTAAATTTTAGAGGAAAAAGAAGTGTTCAATGGAATATTTCATTTCTTAAATTGTCCATAACAAAGAGTTAATAAACTGCATGTGTTCTGGAGTTTATTATTGAATGATTATGTTCTGGAGTTTATTATAACTTCAGAACATAATCATTCAACAAAATTTGATCAGTTTAGTATATCCAGATTGAAGGTTCCCATTCATTTTATTGCCATTAACAGATGGTGCAATGATTATGATAGTGATTCAATACAGTTAGGATATTGTAAATATTATTACAGTAAAGTTGCAATTAAAATATTGAAAACCTTCATTATAATGGAACTAGACAATCCATTGAAGAACTGGAAGTGCTTTATATTGTAAGTCTATAAGGTATTTTCTCCCTCCATTCTGCATGCCTTCGTGGTGTAACGGTAGCACACTCGGTGCATATTTAAGAGTTCCAGGTTCTAATCCCAGTGAGAGCATTGCTCATTTTTCATGCACTTCTGCTTCAAAATTATGTAATGTGACTACAGTGGCACCCGAACTAAAAGGTAGTGGATGATGATTCTTCATCACCAGAATTTGGCAACTGAGTCCCCTAATTCCCATTTGTTCGTTAACAGGGAGAGTATTTAAGGTATTTTTACCTTCCATTCTGCATGCCTTCACGGTGTAATGGTAGTACACTTGGTGCATGTTCAAGAGGTCCGGGTTCGAGTCCCAGCGAGGGCGTAGCTAATTTTTCATGCACACCTGCTTCAAAAATACCTTATGTCATTACAATGGTACCTGAACTAAAAGGTGGTGAATGATGATTCTTCACTACCAAATTTGGCAACTGGGTCCCCTAATTACACTTGGTGCATGTTCAAGAGGTCCGGGTTCGAGTCCCAGCGAGGGCATAGCTCATTTTTCATGCACACCTACTTCAAAAATACCTTATGTCATTACAATGGTACCTGAACTAAAAGGTAGTGAATGATGATTCTTCACGACCAAGATTTGGCAACTGGGTCCCCTAATTCCCAGTTGCCCTTTAAAAGTATGAGTATATAAGGTTACAAATGAGAGGAATATGACCCGATCCACCTTGTCTAAAAATAGACCGTATAATCTTGTTTGGGTAGTCAGGTTTGAGTTCCAGCGAGAACATTTCTCATTTTTCTGTTTCAAAAAATGCGTTCATGCGCTTCTGTTTCAAAAATATCTAATGTCTCTACAAGTCTTTGGTAGTGGTATACAGCATCAGATCCAGCTACAAGTCTAAATAAAGAAACTAGAATCTGGAATGTCAAATTACCAATGTAGCAACTGACACACACAGGAGCATGATCTGCAGCCAAACACAGAGTTAATTTCACTGCTTGCAGAAAGTAAGTTTTGCTGTGCCAATAGCAGAAATTCGATGTAATTAATTAAAGTTGATAAAAATATTTAAATTTTGTATTTTACTCGTAATACTTATTAAATTATAAAATTGTTTTAATAGAGGTAACTGTGTTAATATAAATATATATTGTAAATAAAAAGTAATTAATAATTGTTTTAAAATCAGCATGATTTTCTGATGATCATAAAAGAATAAATTTATTCATATTATGACTTAAGGAGAATACTTATCAAGTCACTTGGGAGATTTTATGTTTTTAGGAAGTATTTAATAAAAAGGTTATACAGAATATGTCAACTGCAAGAAATTTGTTAGTGCTGAAGCATACAGGATGAGAGAGCATCAGATGAAATATGAAGTGACAGTAATAATTAATAGGTAGGCTTTCTTTCTGACATGGAACTTAATGCGAGTACTTCGTCATTTGCAAGGTAATTCTGCTGCTGTATTTGCTAAAATATTGAAACTGGAAAAGTAAAGGAATGTGAAAACAGACCTTAAGCTCATCAGGTCAGTACCAAGCTTTGTTATTTAAACAACTGCAAAAGACAAAGTAATCTTTAATGAAACAGTAAATTAATTACAATGATTATGAATGTTTTGAATAACATTCATAATGTCTTTGTTGCTGTAAATGTCGTTTCTGCTAATACTAAATGTTTTGCTGTAATTTGAATTTGATGACTATTGGGTTTAGAAAGAAAAGGGGGGCAGCACAAGTAACTAAGGCAGCAGAAATGAAAGTTGGAAACAAATGGGAGTAAAAGCTCTTGTAACAGATAATAAATATAAAATGGAATCAATTAGAAGTATTTTCATGAAGAGAATCTATCATCTTAACCATCTTCATCAAAATATTATATAAACATCTGTTATGAAGTTATCTGTTCAGAAATATTTCAAAAGTCACTGCAAACCAAATGGTTGAATTCAGGAATACACAAGTGTTGTGAAGGTCAAGCAATACAAGGTAGAATTATTTAGTAGGTCGCATGAAATCAGTTGTTAGAAATTACCGATAATATCTACAGTTATGTCAAAATAAAGAAGATGGTATAGAGTGACCGAAGTGATAAATACTAGCATGATTATCCGAAAAGTGCTTGATACACTTGTTGAAGCTTATTACTGTTGAATTTGATAATATCCAAGGAATATGCCTGTTATTTATAGTGTGTATTTCGTTTTGAAGACTAACGTAATTTATTTAACCAAATTAATTTTTATCTCTTATTTACGGATGCTTACGAAATTAAATTTATGATAATCTTACAGAAACAACTTTAAAGGAGATTCAGTGATGCACTAATTTGATATTTAACTCAAAGTACAACATATTTAAATTGTCAAATGAGAAGGAAGAAAGTACAGGACATTTTGTGCCTTTCATAGCTTTTAAGCAAAATTGACTCTTTCCTTACATGTATATATCTTGCAGAGTCTATTGAAATGCTTCAAATCATGCATGGTTGTCTAATTTTAAGAAAGCGTTGCATATGAAGATTCCCCCCCCATAAGGATGACATTCTCAGTTAGTGCGGCTTTGCTTGAAAAGAATATTCTCCAGCTTTCTATTTGTTTCCATTAAACTGAGGAATTCTTTGAGTTTTGAAACAGCAATAAAATTAGCCTTCTTCTGTAGACTACAAGATGCTGGGACTCTATTTTGCTGTGCAGTCGGACAACCAGGAGTTACGGCATACAATGCTATTTTATTTGGTTACCAGATCCCTTTGATTGTCATCCATGCTGTTATAGTACTGTGGCTAGCTGGCATGATTCTATGTCTCGTAGTTTTGCCATTCTTCTCACAGACCGCTGGGCTAACGTTTCAACAGGATAATGCCTGGCCGCACATCTCTTCATGCTTTTCCAGTGGTTCCCTGGCTTTCACAATCCCCAGATTTCTCCCGAATAGAGCATGTTTGAGCTCTGATTAACAAATGTCTGCTGTCATCCCTTGATCTTGCTGATCTAAAGCCAGTTGGAACATGTATTGCCATACATGGCAGTCTTGCAGGATAACATCTGACTATGATAGCTCTTGATAACAGCTTGCATCAAGACGAGAGGTGGGGCCAGTGCATTATTGTTTATTGTTTTTTTTCCCCTTTTGTAGCTGGATTTCCCAAATAAAACATTTAGTTCCTATGATACCATTAGCATTTAGTTTTCAATAAATGTACAGATGCATGCAGTTTTCAATACATCTACCAGATTTTGTCCCATCTGGATTACTCTTTTTTGGTGTGTTGCTTTTTATGTTTTAGAGAGTGTACTATAATTAACAGAAGACTAAACACTTGTTCAAAATGAAGAAACTAAGTTATGAAAGCTTAGGCATTATCTGCTATCCCACACATTTTTATTTTCCTTTCTGTTCTTTCTTTTTCTTTTCTGTATTTTCTTCTCCAAATCTAATCATGTAAAATTGATGATTATATTCCTATGTTGAAAGCAAGAATAACAAAACCTTATGTTTTTATGTACTTATATTTAAACTTTTATTTATTATTTTCCAAAAACTTCCTATTTTATTGATTATGTGCAATAGTATTACAGCGGTTTTTTTGGGGAGGGGGAGATGGGTTGACTGTCATCTTAATTGTGAGAAAAAGTAGAGAAATGTTGACCAATGAAAATGAGAATTTTCTTGCTCTGCATAAGCAAGAATGTTTAATGTATGTTGTAGCTGAAAAATTGAATTTAATAAATATGCTACAGGAATACATGTGGCAAAAATGTCAGGGGAACTTAAACTGAAAAAATGTGGAAGTTTATAGTATATCTTTTTGTATGTATGAAAGTACATCACTTTATGTTCAAATACATTACTGTACATATACATTAGGCTTTCGAAATGAACCTATGTGCTATGTTTGTTAGTTCAGTCAAACTGAAGATTTTTCTCTTAATTTAGGTAATATTTCGGGGAATAGGTATACCTATTGTGTTAGGTATCCTTTACCAAACTGTTGCGGCAAGACTTGGTATTGCTTGTTTTCCTATCAATGTGGCTGGACATATTTTTCTTAAATGGTTGGAACATCCACAGTAAGTTAATTTGAATTTCGTTTTTAGAAGTTTTAAACCGCTCTTCCTATTGCTGGCCTATGCTCTCATAAATACACTCATGTCCATAAATTAAGGATAATGCAAAATCAGGCAAAGGAAAAGTTAGAAGCAAAACAAATTTGACTTATTTGTAAAGCTTATTTATTAAACAAAAGGTAAAGAGCAAAAAAATGAGGCTATATGTTTGATATTATTAAAAAAATTAGCGATTTTTTTTCTCCCTGGAGCAAATTACAAAAAAATCCATTTACAAGAAACCAATATTACATGGTTGGTATGATTGTTAATACATTGTATGTCTCCCAGACTGTGCAATACAGTCCGTACAATGCCTAGGCATGCTGAGTATCAAATTATCGATCTGACTTTGGGGGATATTACACCACTCAAAAAGCAATGCTCTCCGAAGTTCCGGTAGACATGTAGGATGAGGTTGACGGGCTGCAACTTGTCAGCCAATCATGTCCCACATGTGCTCTACTGGATTCAAGTCCGGTGAGAATGCTGGCCAGTCCATACGGGTGATAACCTCCAATTGAAGGCATTCGCTTACGATGTTTGCACGGTGAGGACGGGAGTTATTATCCATAAACACAAATTGTGCGCCCATGGCACTCCGAAACAAACGTACATGTTGTTCCACGTACGTGTTGTTCCAGAAATATGTCCCAATAGATTTGGCTTGTCACGGTTCCAATTTGAACATGCAGGTCAGTTCTGGAACCCAGAATACTTCCACCCCAAACTAGCACTCCTGCACCACCGTAGCGGTGTCGTTCAATGATGTTTTCTTGATGGTAATGGGTACCTGGAGTTCTCCGTATGAAAGTCCGGCGAGAATCAGACTACAAGTTAAACCTGGACCCGTCGGAAGACATCACACAAGCCCACTGTTGCGGTGTCCACAATGCATGCTCTCTACTCCAGGCTAACCGCAGGTGACAGTGAGTTGCAGTAAGTGGAACGCATCTGACAGGTCTACGAGCATATAGACCAATCTGCCTTAAGCGTCTGTACACGGACTGCCTTGAAATTGTCGTACCAGTGGCTGAAGAGAGCTGACGAGACAAGTCTGAGGCTATGCTCTGCCTGTTTCTTTTGGCAATAACTGCCAAATACCGGTTCTCATTTGGCGTTGTAACTCTGGGGCGACCTGTGCTATAACGTCTACTCACATTACCATCATCTTGGAATCGTTGTCAAAGCCTGGAGATGACACTCTGGGCAATTCCAAGTTCGTCTGATACTTCCAGTTTGGTACGCCCCCATTCCAGACGGCCGATAATTCTACCACGTAAAAAATCATCCAAATGCGTCCTTTGTGTCATAACTATTCGGTTATTGCACTGAAATGCTTATAAAGCGCCTGCGAACAATTTTACTTCTTTGCCTGTATTCCTTATATATCACTCTCTTACACTCTCGTCATTGTAACGTACCATCGGTGTCATCTGGTTACTTTCTGAAATTTGCATATGATTCATGAAGATGTGTGTAGGAATGTTACAGGTGATATATTTATTTTAGAGTTCGATTTCCGTGTGACTCCGAACTATCCTTAATTTATGGACATGAGTGTAAATAATGCCTTATTTAGGAAATATGAAATTCTGTTTAGTGTTATATGTAATTCTTTCTGAAGCAGCTTTATTAATTTTACCAAAAAAAAAAAAAAAAAAAAAAAGACTTTATTCTCTTCACTCTATAAACCCATTTCATTCTTTATTTTATATTAGACACCTTGAAAGTGTATTAGACACCAGATACTGCCCCATCGGGAAGAAAAAAATGCCGAGCAGAAAATAATCACAAGTAATAAAAACAGCCACTTAGTGCAAATACTGCACCATGTGGAAGAAAAAAATAGCTATCAGAAAATACTTACAAGTAATAAAATCATTGCAGAAATGTTTCTCAACTACATTTATTTCTTGCACATAATTTCTAGTAGTTTTCTTGATACAGTTTCTGCAGTTGCTGTATTATATATGTGTTTTTGTTCCTTTTGTACTAGTGCCACATAGATTCTGATACATGTGACTAAAGAAAAAAAATATGCAAATATGCTGCCCTTTATATATATATATATGTAAGATATAACAAAATATGATAGCTGTTTCAAAAAAATAATCATGCATCTACAGTGTTCCGTCTTTTCCTTGTGCTTTTATTATAACAATTAAGCCGGTAAAATAGTTTCCTGCAGCCTAGGAAAATTTAGTTCAGCTCTTCAAATCATCGTTTTGTGATAAATCCAAAATAATGTGAAAGAAGTGAATCCTAAATTTTTTTTTTTTTTTTTCAGTGTTTAAAAAAAATAACAGATCCATTCTTCTGCTATGGTGTTTTGCAAGTGCTTCAAAAAAATAATCACGCATCTACAGTGTTCCGTCTTTTCCTTGTGCTTTTATTATGACATATATATATATATATATATATATTCAAGAAAAAGGTAGTTTATCTCGTAGTAGTAAATATGAAAATTATCATGAAATTTACTTATCAACATGAAAACATAAGAGATACAATGTTAGAAGTTGAAGGAGGAAGATTTACTTTCACACATAAAAACTTCTGCCAATTAAATTTTGTAAGAAGCAGGAAAAAACATGCAAAAAAGTTGCTGACTGGAATAGTTGCTTGTACAAGGTGCTTAAGTATATTAGTTTTGAGTCAGTGATTAGTTTTGGTGGTTATTTGAGAAAATGTCCATTTTCTTTCATGGTGTCCATTATAACACAAAAAGTTATCTGCATGCATACACTTTACAGTTATTTATTTTTCAGTTAATTTATAGGCTTTGTCAAGTCTATAAATTACACCAAAAGAAAATTTATTAATCTGACCTAATAGGTCATCTATCTGAAAGTTTAAGCTGTAATAAATCTAAGGGATGTTATTGGAAGTTTGGCATGAAATATTTATATTCTGAAATTAAATAATTTTAATAACGTAAATAATTATGATTAATAGTACTGTAGTAATACTTTTCTTTTTTATTCACTAGGAAGAGCGTATACTTAATCATTTTACTTTAACATTTATATCTTTAAAACTTGCAATTCTTTTGTGCTGGTAGGAGCTTTAAAATGCTATTTAAATTACTGCTTAATATAAGGAGTCATATTTTAGCCATATTATGGAATTATGAGAGTTAAATTTTCCATAATTTTTTTCATTTATTTTTACGCATATTTTTTTATATAAGATATTTTACAAATAAGCTTTCTTCTCATTTGTTTAGATTAGAAGGAGAACAAGCATACACTTACATTGATATTTTAGAAGATGGAGCATTCAGAACTTGGGCTCATGTAGATTCTTATGTTGTTGAGGCTGGAGAGGATCCGAATACAAAAGCAGAACCTGTACCAGCTCGGAAAGTATGTTGCAGTAATTGAAAATATGTAGAAATAAACACAAAATATTTGTCTTTAATGATGTGTGTTGATGTGTATTTTAAGCTCATGTAACAGAAAACACGAAATGTATTCCTTTAATAATATAAATGTAATTCAAGCTTATTGTTGTATTTTAGCACTTTATTATTATTTTTAACGTTCCTTTAACTGTTGAAATTTTGTTCTAGTGGAATTAGATGCTGATACTTTTATATTTTTTTATACTTTCTTTTTATATTTGCCTTAAGGTAGAGAAAATAACATTGGCCTGCTCAGGCTTAAGAAGTTACAGTTTGTTCCCAAGTGTCATAAACAACTATAAAAACAAAATTTACCACTGACAGAATTTCTTATTTTTACATAATTTTTTTTTTCATCTTTTGGAATTTGTCACTGCTAAATTCACTCATAAGAATAAGAGTTGCATGATGTCAGCATAAAATTTTTTATTTTAATTTTATGCTGACATCATGCAACTCTTATATGCCAACCTGGTAAAATAATCTTTCATTATTTTTTCTTTCATGGCCATATGAATATCACTCACAGCAGCTTGAGAAATGATTAACACAGCAATGTCTAAATTAATTTTTATTTTAAATATCAGTAATTGAATACCAAGCAACATGATAACCTTTTATGCTGACATTATGCTTGGCTACAATTACAAACTTCAGGCAGTTGCCTTGCAAAGTGTGTTGACAAGATAAAATCAGTAAAAATACGTAGATTTTGTAAATGATACTCATAGGCCATTTAATGCTTTTTGAATTAATAAATAATTTATTGCTCAGCTACCCCATTTTTAGCCATGTGATGAGTGATGATCTATTGGCCATCATCTTTCATGCAGTCTGTGTGGTTTGACATTTATAAACTAATCTTATAACCGGAAATTGTTTATGGTTAAACTGGTCAAAATGCATGGAAGGTGCATAATATAAAAGTACCACCTTAAGCATATGTGTGAATTTATTTCGTAGGGTCTTGGATAAGCCTTAAGCATATGCAAGAAATAAATGTCAATATAGTAAATGACAAAACTAATATATTTCAGGCTTAATTTCCTCAGCATGCGATAGGAGCATGACAAATTTTTCTAGAACAAACAAAAAGCAAAATTTTTCTATTAATGGAATTTGTGAAGAAATGTGAAGACGTACTAATAAATGAAGATAATATAACAGAAATATACCATTGTGGTGGCAATGCCCCAATCATCAACCATTTAACGGATGGCAATTGTATGTATTGTTCTAAATCCAGAAATTTTTGCTACTAAACGAGAAATTGTGCCTATCTATAAAATTAAAGGGAACCTGTTAGTACAAAAAATGAAGCACTTTAACTTACACTGAAAGAAATTTTCCTCTCTATATATGGCGTAGAATATTTTTAGTTACATCTTTAAGATGAAATATATATATATATTTAGAATGGAAGTACATATACAAATGAAGTATATGTGTGTGAAATATATCCTTTAAGTATACATACATGCATCTTGTCCTAGAAATTGGCAGTATATGAAAAGTACATAAAACCAGGTATAAAGGATTGGGTATTCTGGCATTAAAATCAACCAAATACTCTCTCTCATGGCAGTTTTGGGAAATCTGGTAAATTTTGATTCTTAAGGTAATAAATGCTTAATTATTTCAAGTTTTTAATTTTATAATTACTACATGTTATCTTACTAGATTTAAACTATGATCTAAAATCTATAAAATTTCCAAATTTGGAATTCCCCATTGAGTCCAGATCTCGGTTTTTGCTGCATTATATCTTTTTTCTGCGAGGAAGATATTTTACTTTCTGAAATAAATAGGGAAAATGGCTATAACATGCACTCATATTTTGGAAAATAAACCATTCAGATGTGTAGTGTCACCAGTTGCAAAAAGAAAGGTGTTCACATGGCAAATTAGTTCAGTAGTTCCAGATTATCTTCCCTTGCAGCATTGTGGTATATGAATAGTTTAATAAAAAAAAAACTTTCTTCAGTTCAATGCTGCTTTTGTATGCATTCGGTGATGCTTTAGACAAATTGCTTTGAAATGTGAATATTAAATAAAGGATACTTTGTCATTATTACCATGTTAGTAAATTTTGCCTTATTTCTCTTCTTACGTCTTTTGGCCTGATACTAAATAAAATTGAACAGTCGGAACAACAGCAAGAGCACACTTTTTTTAATATCATGAAAAAAATCTTGCAAAAATTCGCTCTAGGAAAGAACATGACTTACGTTATTTTCCTTATGTGGAAACTTTCATCATTCCATAATTTTGTAGCAGCCATCAGTTTTAATGGTATGATGTCTTAGGTAATTATTCCAATCAATAATAAAATATTATTCATTTGAAGCAGATTTTTATTCACAAAAATTGCTAGATGGTAGAAATGTGTGATCCAACAAATCACATTTGTGTTTGGATACCATTTTATTCCCAATCAGAGTGAAGGTTTCATAGTCATTTTAGCTATGTCTTTAATTGCATAAGATGATTATTCAAACACAGTCTTTCTTTGTGAAGAATACTTATTTCTTGAAGAAACAAGGTAGCCCCTTACTGATCTCTTGGTATATATCCACTTAGTGAAATCCATTGCAGTTGTGCAGCATTAGATGATCATGAAGTCAGTTGCCAAGAAAAACAACCAAATTAAATAAGTGATGTGATAATATTTTAAAAAAAGAAAAGAAAGGACCATGTTACTTCAGTGAAAAAGTACCAAATAAATTGTGTAAGTACTAAATATTGCCTGTGTGTGTGTGTGTGTGTGTGTGAAACAGTGAATAGGATGCAGAAAGTTCTTATGAAAATTTTCCTTCTGTCATCAATGCAGTTTCTTTATCACATCGAGACCACTATGAGAAAGAATACCTGTTTTTTTATATTTTATAAATTTATGCATTTAAATTATTAAAAAAGTTTTTAATGAATGCTTGCTTAGTAGTTACAAAAGAGTAATAAATTTTTCAGCTTTTCATCCAAATGTGCTGGAACTTAGTTGAAGTTGGACGCCAGATACACGGTGTAGGTGAAGGCTATCTTTGTTTATGTGATGCACTGGAACTGTTATCAATCCTGAGTCCTGATGATATGGAGAATAAACTGCTTCTAGCAAGAGTGTATATGCATTTGGCAATCAATATGACTGAGGTATGTATTTTATGGCTGTATTGCTTTAATACAAGTATAAGCTGATTGTGGTAGACAAAATAGTGTATGTAGTAAATTTAAAAGTTCTGCTGTTTAAACTGTGTTATTAGAACATCTTTAAGAGAAGTAATTCCAGGTAACAGAGAGAAATCTCTGTGAATGATATATTATGCTTATTTTAAGCAACTGCTTTATTCTGACTTTATTTCTGCCATTCTTACTGCATTTGCCTTCCTAATTTCCCCATTCAGTAGTCTAGGTATCCTATGCAGAATTGCCAACTCTCTCGGTAAAACTTTTGTGTCACATGTTTCGGTAAATCTTGAAATCTTCTAGTTTTAAATTTTTATTAATGCAGTTCACCTCTTTCAGATGTAGTTTTAAAAGAATTATTGATCACTTAATATCAGAGGAAAAGAAAATACTATGAAGAAAATCTTGATGACAAGTTCTTAAGGGGGAGAAGCAGTTAAGCTTGCAGTCTCAGAATGAAATTTAAAACTGTACAAATATTGCCTCTTCCCACAAATGATGCTCTGCATAATTTTTCTGATTTCTATTCAGTTTGGTCTAATTTAATCATTTTAGATTAACAGTATTGGTGAACCTTTCTAGCCGCATACCCAAAACCTCTTTGACTAAATCCCCATCGGAGAGCAGTTTACCATGTTTTGCCGGGCATAGTGAAATTTGAAAGCTTGCTGTTGTTAGATGGTTTGTTTTAGAACAATAATTGCAAAACCCAACTTTCTGGTAATTATAATTCCTCAATTTCCCTTCAATAAACACCTTCCATTCAACTTCATCAAATTCGGCTGCAGTCTTGTGGTTGTTGTTAATGTGCCGCCTGACACTAGATGTACAACACACAACACTTTCCTTGCACAGAATGCATAATGCTTTCCCATTGTGTTCAATAACTCCAAATGATTCTGTCTAGGTCTCTTGAAATGATCTTCCACTACCAATGTTTAATTTTGCCTTTTTTGCTGGAGTCATTTGCGAGAGTTCAAGACCTGGAATACAGAAGATCTATTTAACAACAAAAGTATTAAAACTCACTGACTGTCTGCAATAAATTTGAATTTGTTTAGCAAACATTAGCTGCTTCAACTTTGGTGTATTCTTTGCCATGTAATATGATTGGCCGAAAAAATTGAAACGTTATAAATTGGGTCAATAATATGTATATCATTTCTATGCCAATATATCTAGGCTTAGGCTCTATGCCAGTAGCATTATGTGATAAATAAGCAAGTAAAACATTCAAGAGCAGACTAAAACACTTATTTAAATTACATAGTATCATTTTATTGCGATTATTGATTAAGGAAGTAAAATATGTAAAGCATTTTATGAGATTTAATAATAGATTGAACATAATGTTTAGATTTCCTTTGTATCTATGAATGGTATATTACAAATTTATACCCCTTTTTGATGCTTATTGATTTTATTTTGTTTAAAAATAAGTCGATAAATGAAAGCTTTTTTCTCCAAATTGAATTTTCATCAGTACAGAATTTAAAGAAAATCATAAAATCAAATTAAGTTAGCCAGAAAACATAAATTAAAATTTAGAACAATAAATAGTATACTAATATTACTTCACAATCATGTTATAAATAGCTTTTAATCCTTTTAAAGCAACTTCAAATCAAATTGATAGGTTCTGTGCCATATTTCAACAAAAGTATCCATTTTGACTGCTGTCGATTGCAATTTAACGATGTTTTTGTATGAGATCTGTATATAAAGGCAGAGTAAAGGACTCTTTTTCACAAAATGGTTTGCAAAGAGAATTTAAAATGGATTCAGAAGAGATTTTTTTCATGACGTCTGTACATACATATCTATGTATCTCGCATAACTCAAAAACGAGTAGCTCAGAACATTGAGATTTTGTATGTAGGACTGCTATAACATGCAGTTGTACAACTCCCCTTTTGGTTGCAGTCGGCTGCACAAAAAGTACATATACCCACTCTGTTACTCAGCTCCATGAATTATGTTTTTCTTATCTTACGGTTAGTTTTTATGCCGCATGCAGTAGTTGTAGAATTATCAGCAATTTAAAAGTTGTGTAAATGTGGCTAAGCCTAATTTTTTTACCATACATGCCATATTTCTCTATATTTGAAACTTAGCAGAATAGTGAATTAAATCAGCTTCTGTACCTTTAGTGTCTTTCTGCCAAGTGGGACCAAAAGCAAAAAGCAAACTTTTAGCTTTGTACACCGAAAAATCTTCCTTCTTGCCCGCTGACCGAATTGCTTGTTTTTGTGCAGAAACTCTAATTGTAAAATTTAAAAAAAAAAATTTTTTTTTGTTATCTGTATTTGGTGTTTTATAATTTTCAATTTTTGATAAAAGTATTTTGAGATTTTGCGTTACTGCGAAGTGAGAATTGAATTAATTGAATGAGAACTATATCTCCAATGAAATAAATTTAAATGAAATGCAGCAGAAAATGTGTTAAATTTAATATTCCATGCAAGAAAGTCATGTGGTGTGCACATCAGATTTATACGAGGGCCATCCAGGAAGTAGATTACGTTTCCATCTGTGTCCGCTAGGGGCGGGGCTAGCGCGGCCATCTTGGGGTCAGAGCGTTGCGCAGCTCAGTCTGCATCTAGCCGTGCTAGTGAGAGGTTCGTGCTGTGCTCCGTTCAGATACTGTGACGGTTTGAAATGTCTGCGTTAATTGAAAATCCCGCGAGCTGCGAGGTGCGCTCAGTAATAAGGTTTCTGACTGCAAAAAACTGTAAACCGATAGAAATCTATCGGCAGCTTCGTGAAGTGTATGGGGACAACATTATCACTGAAGGTGGAGTGCGTCAGTGGGTCATAAGATTTCAAATGGCCGAACCAATGTTCACGGCGAAGATCGAAGTGGGAGACCCAGCATAGTGACCGCCGAACTCTCGAAAAAGTCGATGCTAAAGTCCGTGAAAATCGAAATTTCACAATAACGGAACTTTCTTTGAGTTTTCCACAAATTTCGCGAAGTTTGTTGCACGAAATCATCAGCGAAAAGCTTGGTTACCACAAGTTTTGTGCAAGATGGAAGGCAAGAAGAGGTAACGAAGTGGTTGAAGGCGCAGGCGGCCGAATTTTTCGACGAAGGAATTTCCAAGCTCGTACATCGCTACGATAAATGCCTTAATTTGTATGGTGACTATGTAGAAAAGTAGTATTTGAGTGTGGCTTTCATCTGTATATAATAAAATTTTTTTCCTATACTTTGTTTATTTTTTTATTCCAAAACGTAATCTACTTTCTGGATAGCCCTTGTATGTATATATCTTTCAAGGTTGATAGCTATAATCATATCTAATCAAAATCCGTAGATGCATATGCAAATCTAGTATTTGCATTTGCACCCAAGCCTCAAGTCCACAGAAGTGTCTCATGGAAGTATCTGATGTATAGTTGAAAAATATAACTAATACAATTTAAGGACTTCATAATGTCAAAAGAAATTAAAGTACTGTATAAAATACTATTTTACTGATTGTTGCATCTGGAGAGTTAATAATATTATGGAACTATAATATTGCATATTTTCATCACAGTGAACTATTATATGCTACATATTACTGCTACTATAGACTTGTGTGTGTGCACGTTTAGTGCATACACCACCTTACTGGAGCTGTGTTGCAATTTATGCACAGTCCAACAAATGGATTTGTTTATTTCTGAATATTTCTAAATAGGAATAATATTTTTTCTAGTATTAAAGTTAAAAGGCCTAAAGAAACATTGTGAATCGAAAGTATTTTTAGGAAAATGTTAATAAAACTAATCTTGAGATTGGAGTAGTACTTAGAATTCTAATAAATTTATAAATGCTATAAATTCGTAAAGTTAAAAATATTTCAAGAAATGGAACAGTTAATAAAGTACTCTATAAAATATGTAATACAGTCAAAAGTCGTTAATTCAGACACCCATAATCCGGACCTCAAAGCTACATACTTTCTGTGCATGTGTCGCGTTGACGCATGCGTGTAAGACCTTTACGGCTGCAAATGTGCGTGTGCGCATGCACATAATACGTTTACGCACGCGCGTATAATGTGTTGGAAAATATGACCTATTATAACCCTTTTTCTGCATCATCTCTCCTCCTTGAAATAATTCTAACTTTTACGTAAGGCTTAGTTCTTATTTTAAAGGGATATAATAGTTATTTCTACTTCATTTTTCACTGCCACTGTTTGTATTAAGAACGGACTGTTCCAGCCTAATTAAGATGAAAAAACGAACTTGGTGTTACGTCATCTGGAAAGCTGAGTCGTGCCAATAGCTGATTGGTTGCCGTGAGATGACGTCATGTCTACTTCAGGTATAAGTATCTCGCGTCACTCTGGCTCATTCCTTCTGGTTCCTGTTTCTTTGCTCCGTGGTGTGCCGTTCCAGCCCCCATTGGAAGACAACATTGAGATGCGTGCCGTCTAGTGATAAGTGCTGTGGTTCCAGTCCATAAGATGACTTTTCCTGGATTATCAAAAGAGGCTACGATGTGAACGACTGCCGTGGGCGGCATCCTGTTTTTCATTAAGGCGGCATCTTCAACACAAGTGTTTTTCCCGAATTAGTGGCGATTGTGATTTCTCGTGTGTAACTACAGTGAGCAGCTTTTTGCTGGTTTAAGTGCTCTCAAGGATTTAATTTTAATTTTCCTGGTGCCTTCTTTACCATGAAGCATGTACTTATTGATAGTGTAGCAAATTTCATTAAAACCGCGTAATTTCTGTTTAGTGATATGTTTTTCGCGTATTGAATGCCAGTATTTAGAGATTAGGTAAAATATTCTTTAATAGTGTAACATTCTGTAAAGGAAAAACCCTTGGGGCTAATGGATGATCAATTAAGTGTAATTTTTTGATAATGATTATGTTATACTCTTTCTTTAAGTTTCTGATATTGATTAAATTTATTCATTGAGTTTTTATTTTTATATATTGTTACTAAATTGGTTAAGTTTAAAACTTTTGTCCTCAATGTCTTCACAGTGCATAACCTTAGGGAGCTTCTATTGCTACTTTTGCTAAAAGTTTAATTTTACAACTTTAAACATTGCTTTTGCATCATAACGGCCGGTATAAGCTAAACTAAAATTATCTAATTCAGTTAATGTTGCAGATTGCGTTGTTCCTTAATCTTTGAATTGGATCCGGCTTATTATTTTTTGCAGACTGTTAGAGCAATTTTATAAAAGTAAGCTTAAACTTTCGATCATGTCAAATAGAATTTCCAATATATATTTACTAATATGTAAAGAATCTACAAAGCGAAAGTATGTTTCGAAGTCCATTAAACAAAAAGTGGAATTGCTGCAAAAAATGGATAAAGGCATATCCTTCGTTTCTCTAACCATTCCGAAATCTGTTTATCAATTTCACGCTGCTCTGGGGGCGGGGAAATGCCGCGGCGCGCAATGAATTGGAAGTTGATCTGTCAGCATTATCCTTATCTTCAGAGCAGATGTTTTTATTTTATTTGGCTTATAATTCCTTACTAAATGTAGTATTTCATCTCTCGATGTACTCCGTCTTTGATATGATTTAAATCAAATTCCTCGTCATTATAATTCCCTTCCGATAGTGAAGAAAGTGACACAGAGGTTATTGAAAACGAAAACATTTCGATTGACAAATTAGTCGGTATTCTCGACACAGCAATTATAGGACTTGAACAGTGCAACTTTGTAACTGAAGAAGAAATTATGTCTGTTTATAGAATTAAAGAGAAATTATTATCACATAAAACGAAGCAACTTACATTGAAAGAAATGTTTAATAAAGTAAGCAAATAAATATTAAGCTCTCTCTCTCTCTCTCTTTTTTTTTTTTTTTTTTTTTTTTTTTTTTTTTTTTTGTTGTTGTTGTTGTGAATTTTGATACCCTTTAGATCATAATTGTTCTTTATTTCATAAATTATGGTTTCATATTTTTAATTTTATAATTTCTGCATGCCATCTTACCAGATTTAAACTCATGATCTATAATCCGAAAAATCGATAATCCGGAATCGCCGAAGTCCCAATGAGTCCGGATTAACAACTTTTGACTGTAGTTGAAGTACACTCAAGAGCCAAAACATTATGACCACCTGTCAATAACGAGTTGGGCCACCTTTGGCGCTTCACACACAGCTTCAACCCGCCTTGGCATGGATGCCACAAGTCCTTGATAGATGGCCGGAGACAGATTGTACCAGATGTTGTAGCAACGGTCGCGCAAATCCGAGATATTGCGAATTGATTGTCTTTGACCTCTGAGCTGCTGTCCCATGACATCCCAAATGTGTTCTATCGGATTGTGATCCGTTGAGTTAGGCAGCCAGGACATTAACTGGAAATCAGCATCATGTTCCTGAAACCACTCCAACACAATTGTAGCTTTGTGATACGGGGTGTTGTCCTGTTGGAACATTCCATTTCCAGCTTGAAAAACAGAGGCAATGTAAGGGTGCAACTGGCCCGCAATGATGTTCAGATACACTGTAGCATTCATGGTCTGCTCTACCACAACCACGGGTCCCAGAGACGCCCAAGAGAACATCCTCCAGAGCATATTACTTCCACCACCAGCCTGTGTATGACCTACTGTGCATTGAGGGAGCAACTGTTCGCCTGGAAGACGGCGTATCCTGACACGGCCATCGGCATGATGAATGACAAACCGTGATTCATCTGACCAGGCAAATCTCTCCCACTGATCCAAGGACCAGTCGCGATGTTCCCGGGCCCAGCGCAGGCGCAGTCGTCGATGACGCTTGGTCAGCAAAGGCGCATGAGTGGGATGTTTGCTGCGTAGCCCCATATCCAACAGTGTCCGCTGAACAGTGCGCTCCGATACTTTTCTACTTGGCCCTGCATTGTATTCGGCTGTCAGCTGAACCACTGTCTGGCTCCGGTTTTGCTTCACCATGCGAGACAATCTCCGACGACCTTCTTCTTTGATAGCATGTGGACGTCCAACACCATGTCGTCTACTGCTGGTTTCACCGTCATTCATCCACTTTACGTACTAACAACTGTAGATCAAAAACAACCCACGACTCGTGCAGTTTCGGAAATACTTGTTCCGAGCCTTCGAGCCATTACAATCTGCTCTCTATCAAAGTCGCTTAGATCCGCAGCCTTTCCCATCACTCACAGAAGTAAGTAAAAGAATGGTTCTTCAGACTCTCCAGCAGCAGTTAAATACCACTTCCACCTGATCACGTGCCTTCCACGCCATCCAGGCGCTTTCATTGCAAAATGTAGGGCAATGTTTTGGCTCTTGAGTGTATATTGGTGAGAATATTGTTGAAATCTTAAATTCTGTATTAAATATTAACTATAATATTAAAGGTATAAAATTTTATAAAAAGTTTTTAAAAATTGTATTAACTACAGATGTTTTTAGTGCCATATTTCTTACACTTTATCTCTAAAATTTGGTTGAAGTGTGCATATTTGGCACAGCCTTACATATTGGGTGTTCTAAAATACAATTCATGGCTTTCAAAAATTTATAACATAGAAAAAGGTTAAGGTTAAAAAAGCAAAAAGTTCTGGAAAAATGTTAGGGGACTTTTCCATCCTTCAAGCAACTTCAAAAGAAGAAATCGCATGGATTCAAGTTTGTTGAATACGGTGGCCATTCTATTCATTTTCCAGTGAAGCATGGGTAATTTAAAGCAATTCCATGTTTATCCAAATACTCCTATAAGAAACTAAAAACTGTAGCAGTCCAGTGAGGTCTCAGCTGCTCATAAGTCCGTTTTTGAGAATGTTTATGAAACATATACAAGAGGGTTCTTAGTTTCCCAAATTTGTCCGTTTTGCTTATTTACAAATCCATTGAGATGGAAATATGTTTTATCTGAAAACCATGTAGAGTTCACATCAATATTGCCACTATCAATCATTTCCAGTATTTCATTCACAAATATGCTTCTTTTCTCTGAAGCATTTGCATGGTCTGAAGCGTTTGCAGTGTGAGTTTTGTATGGGAACAAGGCCAGACACTAATGCATTATCTTATGCGCCGCCACTTTGCACAATTGACATATTGCTGCAAGTTTTTCTGACTGATTTTCTAGTGAAGCATGCAGTTGTTTCTTCAATGATATGCTCGTTTTCTTCTGTTGTCGGTAGCCAATCATTGTCATCCAACAGTTCTGACTTTTTCATCTCCATGTTTTTATTGTATTATACTATGGACCATTAGCAACTAGGAATTTTCTGTGAACTCTTTTATCCCCCAGTCAGTGGAATTCCAATATAAGGAAAATCCTTTCCTTCTACAAATGTGATATTTTCAACACTTTCCTGCAGAATCTGCTGTTCAGCTGTCAACCGCTCCTCTAGTCACAGATAACACTAGTCAAAATGTCGGTAGCCAATCATTGTCATCCAACAGTTCTGACTTTTTCATCTCCATGTTTTTATTGTATTATACTATGGACCATTAGCAACTAGGAATTTGCCCTGAACTCTTTTATTCCCCAGTCAGTGGAATTCCAATGTAAGGAAAATCCTTTCCTTCTACGAATGTGATATTTTCAACACTTTCCTGCAAAATCTGCTGTTCAGCTGTCAACCGCTCCTCTAGTCACAGATAACACTCCTTTCAAGTCAAAATGTCTGCCCCTTCCTCGGATGCATATTTTGATGATTTGCATATACCAAAACTAGAAAGTACAGTAGAAGGGGCTTACAGTGCCATCTGTGAGAAAATTTTTGAACTAAAAACCAGGAACTCTGGGAGGGAAAAGTTATGCCCTGTCACATGAATTTGCTGCAAGAATTGTTTTTTTAACCTTAACCGTTTTCCTGTTATAAATATTTGAAAACTGTCAGTCTATTTTAGGACACTCGTTATCAGGAAAGACTTGAGATACATATAATGTTATATAGTGATATTTAAGTGCTTTTGTTCAAAATAAAGAAGGAATTGGAAATAAAGGTTGAAGATTATCTTCAGATACTCTATGTACATAAAAATAAATAAAACATTGCACATCTGAAAAGGTGGTCTAATGATTTTAAAACTTAGCATTTAAATAATTGTTAGAATGGCTTGAAAATTATATCTTTCCTTTAGTTTAATAATTCCATTTGGAGACTTGACAAGAGTACCACACAACTCACAGAGTTGTTTATCTTTATTACCATCAGAGTAAATAAGAATAGCATCCGTAGAAATGTTATTAATGATTTTTAAACTGACCAAGTATGGCAGGAGAATCTACTGTTTGTGAGCACAATGTGTGCATTAATTAGTTTGATAAACAAGACTAATTTTTAATAGGATATTTGAGACTTTTTTACTGTCCTGCATATTTTATTTTAGTTTAATGGTGATGAATAATGTATATTTTAGTTAATTTCTTTTCTGTTTTATGATGTAATTTTTTTTCTCATGCATAGTATTTTTTATTGTAGATATTTGAGTTTTCTTATTCTTTATTAAACTGAAATCAAATATAGCTTTTGTTCATATTTTTAAAATGGTTTTAAAACAACTGGTTTTCTGTCTAGCATTTTTTTGATTCAGAAACTGAAACTTGTTGCCTTTTATTTGTGTTTTGTAGATATTGACTAAATTGGTATAATAATAAAACAGTGTATAAATTTTATGTAGGTTATCTCTCTGCTGCAAGAAATTGCTTCACATGATCCACTGTCAACTGGCATTGTAGGTTATATGCATCAGTCAGCTCTTACTACAATGGAAACACAAAAGATAAAAATGCACCAACTGAAGGAAAAGGTATTGATATTTATACTATTAATTATTTATGTTTTATTAAAGCATCATTAAATATAAGGAACATCACTTGAAATTTCTCTTTTTTCGTGGAATCATATGTTAAACGAAGCATCTTGAAATGATTTTTGGTGCTAAAATTATAAATAAATATCTGAAATAATAATACAATCAGCATGCTATTTTAGTTATTTATTGCCATAAACATTTTAGTGATTCACCGAATTGTATATCACAAAATTAATGCAGTTGTGACAGTGAGATGTAAAATTTTAACACTTATAGAGTAATTGATGATTTTGTTAAAAAATTATATGCATTTTGAAGCAGATTGCCATAAGGAGCAGAAATATTTTACACACTTTCATAATAAAGTGGCCCTCAGGGGGCTCACTTTTGTGAGTACGGGTGTGGCAATCCCGAGGTACCCTAGCCCTTCAGGGGATCATCTTCTTGGTGAGACGGGTGTCACGATCCTGGAGCCCCAGTGATCTATCCTCTTTTCCGTCTCCTCTCCTCTTGGCTGGTACTTTTTCCCTTCCCTTCTCCCTCGTGGTTTCTCTCTACGGAGTTTGGGGCTCGTCACGAGAGACTGGAACAGACCTTGTCTCTAGTTCTCGAGTGGCGAGAAAACTGCCCACGTGTTTGCCGTGCGTGGAGACCCGTGTCGCTGGAAAGGAGGGTCCTGGTAGTTGAGGGGCGAGGTACTGTCCCCAACACACTACTTTGGCCTCTGCTTCAGCTAAACGGGAGGCACCTTAGTCGTCCTCACGGGTGTCAATCGGCTGGTCACTAGTCCTTGTGTCAGTGGCTTGGGGTCAAGCTCTCGGGAGTACCTGCTTTCGGGAAAGCCGACTGTGGGGCTTCAGTTTGCGTATAGGTCCGGCTAGCCCTAACACAGGAATCTGTGTTCCCTTGTTGGGCTCCGTGGTGGGCGGGGCCGTCGGACCCGAATCTTATATTTTTCAATCATGGCTTCCCTTTTTATTTTAAAAAAAACCCGAATCAAATGATACCAACAAAGATATAGAAATTGTCGACAAATCTATTAACAAGAAGATCCGTGCTGATGAAAATACCAAAGATATTGAAGTTAGTGACAAATCCATTACAAAGAAGATCCGTACCGATGCAAATGCCAAAGAATCTACTGATTGTCCGCCGCTTTGTTGTTGTTTCCAGTGCCTCTGGAGAATTGCAAAAGATGTCTCCTTTCCTGGTCAAGCATAATACATTCATTCTGTGTAGGTGAGCCAAGGAACATAAAGCGTCTCCGTTCTGGAGACTTGCTTATTGATACCCTTTCGGCCACCCAGTCTGCTTCACTTTTACATCTAACCAAACTTGGACAAGTAGCTATAACAGTGTCAGCACACAAACACTTAATACCTGTAGAGGCGTGATCTCGGAATCGACCTTCTGTGTGTTTCAGAAGAAGAGTTCGTCTCCGAGTTAGCTGACCAAAATGTCTGTGGTGCTAGGCGGATCAAGATGCGAAAGGAAGGTCAGTTGATTGACACGAAACACGTGATCCTGACCTTCAAATCGCCTGATCTGCCGAAGAATATAAAAGGCTGGATATCTTAAATTGTCCCGTAAGACCATATATTCCCAACCCAATGCGATGCTTCCAATGCCAGCGTTTGGCCACTTCTAAGACATCCTGTCGTGGCACCTTACGTGCGCCAGATGCTCGTTGGTTGGCCACGATAGTGAAAATTGCACCGCTGCGCCATTGTGTGTTAACTTGCAAGGGTGATCACCCAGCATTTTCTCGGTCTTGTCCAAAATGGAAATCTGAAAAGGAAGTTCAGACCATAAAAGTTTCTACGAACATTTCATATGCCGAAGCCAGGAGACAAGTTCAGAGCACGCAGCCTCAATCAAAGAAATCATATGCCAATGCCGTGAAATCAACCCGCACTATAGCCACTCAAACTTCCATAAGTACACAGACTCCACCAAATAAAACCCAGCAATCCTGCAAACAAGAAAAAGGAAAATGCAACACATGTCGTACAAAATAAAGAAATAGTTATTCAAAGCAAACCCAAAACATGTGCCCTCCAAAACCAATTAACAAAAATAGAAGTCCCAGCAATAGTTCTGTAATGAAATGATTTCTGAATCTGCAGATTCAGACAGTATGGAAGTGGAGGAGGGATTGGAAATTCCTGAACATCTGCTTCCGCGCAAAAACTAAAAAGGAACACAGAAAGAACAAACATCAATCATAATGGCCACCCTCGTCTCATGGAACTGTCGCGGTTTCCACCGAAATTTCCTTGACATCAAAGCTATGATCAATGCTTATCATCCTGTGTGCTTGGCAATACAGGAAACGAATCTGTAGCCGGAACAACAAGCAAAACTTCGGAGGTTTTCTCTCGTCAGGAAGGATAACCTTGCAGGTGAACGTGCCAGTGGAGGTGTAGGTCTCCTCACCTCACTGGACTATCCCTCAAGTTCCTTTCCTTTGACGACATCCCTCCAAGTTGTCGCTGTACAAGTAAATTTTCATATTGTAGTTTCAGTCGTTTCTCTTTATTTGCCTCCAAATGAGCACATTGATCAGCAGGATTTAAATAGTCTTATAGAGCAGCTGCCTGAGCCTTTTATCATAATAGGAGATTTTAACGGCCATAGTCCGCTCTGGGGTAGTAAAGATACAAATTGCCGAGGAAGACAAATTGAGCAGATGATCGAAGATCATAGCCTTTGTCTCCTGAATAATGGGCAGAATACTTACTTCCATGAGCCTTCAAGGACATTCCACGCTCTCGACCTTGCCATCTGTTCACCATCTCTGTTGCCATTTTGCACTTTTAGTGTGGGAAATGATCTTTACAACAGCGATCACTATCCCATTTTTATATCTCTTGCACGAAGAGGAGCAAACCCCATGTCGAGATCCCCTCGATTCATACTCGATAGGGCAGACTGGGAACTCTTCTCTTCCATTGCAGAGCTCACAGATGAAATGGTAGAAGATGTGCATATCGATGATGCTGTTGAAGCTGTTACAAATACTATTATTCAGGCAGCTATGCTTTCCATTCCTAGAACATCAGGAAAAATACTAAAATATTCGAAACCATGGTGGAATCGCGATTGTCATGAAGCACTGAAAAAACAGAAAAAAGCATGGGGTATTTTTCGTAGATATCCTACTCTGCGAAACCTCATAGCATTTAAAAGAGCCAAAGCAAATGCACGAAAAGTAAGAAGGCAGAGCCAGAGGGATTCCTGGATTTCATATGTGTCGTCAATAACATCCTCTACGCCTAGTAAGCGGGTTTGGGAAAGAGTTCGAAAAGCATGCGGAATATATAAGGACCACTCACTTTCCTTTTTGGAAAAAGATGGCCGAGTGATTAGCTCCATAGAAGAAATTGCAAATACTATAGGTGAGACATTTGCTGCCGTTTCTTCCAGCAGAAACTATTCACCTGCATTTCTCTCTATCAAGCAGCACTCTGAAATAAATCCCATCGCATTCAACTCTTCCAAATCTGAGCCTTACAATAGAGACTTTACTATGCTGGAATTAAGAGAGCTTTATTGCAGACACATAGGTCTTCTCCGGGTCTTGATGGCGTGAATTACGAAATGCTAAAGCATCTGTCCTATAAGTCACTGAATGCCCTTCTCACGCTTTACAATAGAGTGTTGAAAGAGCGTACAAGTGCATGGAGGAGAGCTGTTGTAATTCCTATTGCTAAGCCAGGGAAAGATCCAAGGAATCCCTCCAACTATCGGCCAATTGCCCTTACGAGTTGTGTTTGCAAACTGTTTGAAAAGATGGTAAACAGCCGCCGCCTAGTCTACTTCTTGGAAAAGAATAATATTATATCGCCTTATCAAAGCGGTTTTCGAAAGGGGAGAACAACCGTAGATAACATGCTCTCTTAGAGAACATTCCATTTGTAGAAAAAAATCACCTTGTCTCAATTTTCTTCGACATTGAGAAAGCTTATGATAAGGCATGGAGATACGGTATACTTCGCGGATCTTCACGAGAGTGGCTTGCGCGGCAACCTACCAATTTTCATTCAGAATTTCTTGAACACTAGAACTTTTCAAGTAAGGATTGGCTCTGTTTTTTCGGATGTTTTTGAACAGGAAGAGGGTGTGCCTCAAGGCTGTGTGCTTAGTGTAACCCTTTTCGTTTTAAAAATAAACTCTGTACTAAAAGAACTTCCTCCCACCATCTTGGGATCTCTATATGTAGATGATTTACAGATTAGCTGTCGAGGGGTAGACATGAGATACGTAGAGAGGCAATTGAGATGGCTCTGAATAAGATCCAAGAATGGTCAGACAAACAGGGATTTACTTTTTCGAAACAGAAAACTATGTGCGTGCACCTTTGTAGGAAGCGAGGTCTGCATACTGAACCTGAGTTATATCTGAATGGTACAATTATTCCAGTTGCACCCGAAGTAAAATTTTTAGGAGTGACGTTCGACCAGAAATTGACTTTTCTTTCTCATGTTTTAAACCTGAGAAAGAAGTGTTTAAAAACACTAAATATTTTAAAAGTGTTGGCGAAAACCTCCTGGGGTGCAGAGCGTTGCTCTATGCTTCGCATTTACAGAGCGCTTGTTCGCTCTAGACTGGACTATGGCTCAGTTGTTTATGGATCCGCTCGGTCATCAGTTTTGTTAAAACTGATCCTGTTCACCATCAAGCTCTGCGGATTTGTTCAGGAGCTTTCAGGACTTCTCCTGTCCAGAGCCTATATTGACTCTAACGAACCATCACTTTATCTGAGGCGTGAGCAATTGTCCCTTTTGCAATATTTTAATATTCTATCCCAACCTGAACATCCCAATAAGCTGTGCTTACTTGATAATGTGTGTAACACATTATTTGAAACACGTCCATCCTGTGTTCCTACCTTTCCTTTAAGAGTTCGCCCTGTCATTGAGGAACTTTCCCTCTCTGATATGCGCCCCCAAGCAGTACAGAATTTTGAAATCCCACCTTGGGAAAATGCACGG